TCTAAAAAGAATTTAAGAAAAGTGAATATTAGACTGTTAAAAAAAATAGCAGTGTTTGTATTCAAACAAACATTCACTATATAAACTGAAAAATGTTTAAAGATGTTGCTTTCCTTTGAATCACTTAATTAATATTTAGTTGTATAAGCACTGTTTTGAGAACTGCTGTACATCTGTGTTGCATGTAGTCAACCAACTTCTGGCACCCTGCGAACAGGTATTCCAGCCCAGGATGATTGGACTACATTCCACAGTTCTCTATTTCTTGGTTTTGCCTCAGAAACTGCATTTTTTTATGTCACCCCACAAGTTTTCTATTGGATTAAGATCTGGGGATTGGGCGGGCCACTCCATATTGTCAATCTTGTTGGTCTGGAATCAAGATGTTGCACATTTACTGGTGTGTTTGGGGTCGTTGTCTTGTTGGAACACCCATTTCAAGGGCATTTCCTCTTCAGCATAAGGCAGCATGACCTCTTCAAGTATTCTGATGTATTCAAACAGATCCATGATCCCTGGTATGCGATAAATAGACCCAACACCGTAGTATGAGAAACATCCCCATATCATGATGCTTGCGTAACCATGCTTCACTGTCTTCACAGTGTACTGTGGCTTGAATTCAGTGTTTGGGGGTCGTCTGACAAACTGTCTCCGGCCACTAGACCCAAAAAGAACAATCTTACTTTCATCAGTCCACAAAATGTTGCACCATTTCTCTTTAGGCCAGTCAATGTGCTCTTTGGCAAATTGTAACCTCTTCAGCACGTCTTTTTTTCAACAGTGGGACTTTGCGGGGGCTTCTTGCAGATAGCTTGGCTTCACATCTAGATCTAGGCGTCTTCTAATTGTAACAGTACTCACAGGTAACTTTAGACCTTCTTTGATCTTCCTGGAGCTGATTATTGGCTGAGTCCTTGCCATTTTGGCTATTCTTCTATCCATTCGAATGGTAGTTTTTTTTTGCTTTCTTCCACGTCTTTCAGGTTTTGGTTGCCATTTTAAAGCATTTGTGATCATTTTAGCTGAGCAGCCCATCATTTTCTGTACTTCTTTATGTTTTTCCCCTCTCCAATCAACTTTTTAATCAAGGTACGCTGTTCTTCTGAACAATGTCTGGAATGACCCATTTTTCTCAGAATTTCAGAGAAAAATGCAATTGTAACCAGCATGTACAACATTTGCTGCCTTCCTTCCTTAAATAAGGGCAATAATTGCCACCTGTTTTTCAAAGAATGAATGACCTCACTAATAGAACTCCACACTGCTATTATTTTGAACATGCCCCTTTCAATTAGTGATTCAATGACACAGAATCAGCAGCATGCATGTCATGACTGTTGGGTCTGTTGGATTTCTATTACTCTACTACACCTGCTAGTAAATTATTTTCCATGTAGAAATATCATTTCTACCAAAAACAGTGATTGATCAGGTTAGTGATGTCTGACTGCTATTTTTTGAACACAACTGTATATACTGTATATTTATATGTATTCATTATATGATTTTATGCGTTCATGTGTTTTTTAAATTTTGTGTGAGTTTTTCTCTTTCTTTTGTGCAGGCAGCACACAACAGATTATTAGCTGCTGTGTGTTTCATCATTCTATTGACGTTTACCTGCTTATGGGTGGGTGTTATTGCACTATATACTCGATTTGGTGACGAGTTTGTTTAGTCAGCTATGATTAAAGATTGGTACACATAGTCCATCCGAATAGGATCTGGATGAAATTCAGATCATATGCACAGTTGTCCTTCTTACAGAAGTTGGGCTACGGACCGGCTTTTGGCAAAGGCATATGCTGGAAAATCAGCACCTAATCAGATCGCTGCACTATCATCACTTATTTAGTACAACAATCTCCATTTTTTTTTTCTCTTTTCGTTAATCCTGCTGGGTTGAACGAAAAAAAATCAGAATGTGTGTACAAGGCATAAGCACAAAATGTGTTAGCTGTTTTCTTCTGTATTCCTCTGTTGTAGGGTGTTGTTGTGCTTTTATTCAACCATCCACAATAAAGGTGCTTTAAGATGTGTGGTGGACTAAAATTTTGTCTTTCCTATGCAAATGAGGAGTTCTAACTGCTTTCTGACTTTCCCATCTGCATACTTGCTCCCTGGTGAGTGACTCAAACCTACTGAAGCCAGAAACAACCAAGCAAATACCATTTTGGATACAGATCAGCAATGTCATCCCCATTAATTCATCATTACTTGTTTTCTTTAATAGACTATAACTAAAATGTAATTTTATATATTTTTAATGAACTAACCAGTAAAAATGTGTTTTATTTCGCCTTAATAACATTCTGCTCATTATAAAATACTACTCAAACTGCTGATGTCTTTAGTAGGCACAAGTTAGACTGTATATTTCAGAATGACAAGTATCACACTAAAAATATACAATGTATCACACTTCATCATTAAGAAATTAGTCATATACTGAATTTTGCACTGGATGCACAAGACACTGGGCAGTGTATGTAATAAACTTGGCTGCAAGGCATGTGGCTGTGTGCTTATATTGGCAAGCATCAGCATTGTATCTTAGTAACCATAAACTGGACATTATCTTGTGTGGATATTTTGTGTTAAAATGTAATATTAGATGTGGATAAAGGTGGTCATGTTCTTTTTGGGCATACAACTTGTCCCCCTGCTGACATCAGTAGGTACTGTTTTTTGAATGTTTTTGAAATAACACGAACTGTAGATTTAATTACGCAGCATACTGTATTTTATTTTTGGCTTCTCTAGATATGAGCTATGTTGGGCTTCAGGTTTTTTCTGTGTAGTGAGTGTTAAACCCAGATGTACAGTCCGATAACTGTGCTGTCATGTACAGCAATAATTACATATTTTACATTAGGGTTGTTATATTTTAATAACCTTTGTTATGTCCTACATAAATCATTCTTGCAGAGTCAAAATGTTTCCCTATATCTTCTGCACCACCAAATGCTCGAGTGATAGATCCAAGAAATGAATATTCTAATGGAGATAATATAGAGATAGAGTGTGATCCTGGATATCAGTTGTATGGTTCAGGAAAAAATTCTATGCAAAGATGGAAAATGGCAGTCTCCTCCTTCGTGCATAGGTAAGTCTTCAATTCTAATTTACGTTTGATATATTTCAATAAAAATTAGAAAAAGTGATCTTTCAGTAGATCCTCCAGTGTCAGGGGCACCAGTGACAAGAACTCTCAGCTTAAGTTGACATGCCTGTGCACCTGTGACAATTATAAGCAGATCCCATTCACTTTGCATTTTAAATGACATAAGAGGGAATGAAACAAGAGGAGTGGAAATACCCCAAAATGGGCAGACAAACCCAAACCTTTGCTGAGAGGATGAGCTAGGTGCCGCTCCAGATTCTGGGGTTTTTACAGACTGTGAAGTTGGCATCTTTACCCCAGACTGGACCGGCTCAGGGACATCAGCAGACTTCAGTCCGCTGTCAGCTGACAACGGGTCACAGGAGTGCAGAACAAATTGAACTTCTGTGATCCACATGAGAAGTTTGCTAAAAGAGCTTTGGCTGTACTTATCCTTTAAGCAGCATATTGCTTTCATGAAGCATCGATACTTGTCAGCTGCCTCCATTGATTTCAATAGTAATGCTCTATAACCACATCTTACCAGCACCTAGCATTTATGGCATGTTGGTGAAGCATTTAGAAAGTAGTAGCTGGAGAGACAGTGGGGGCTCCTATATCCCAGAATGCATTGGGAAATAATAAATAACTAGGACCAAGCAGCTTTAGCCACCTCCTGTTTGTATAGAGCAGCCATGTGGTAACACCATTTGCTTCTGTGTGAGGACAAAAGCACCAACTAGCCAGCCATAATGACAGTGCCAGACAGGAGCAGAGGGATTGAGCATTATTGTTATGGTGAAGTTTTTTGTGTCAGGAAAGTTGAGCTGGACCAAGCCAGATGTCAAAGATCAAAGTATTCAAATCCATCTTGCAGAGAATTCACAAAGATGTCTGCTATCACACCACAATTTAAACACTCCTCAAATCAGATCATTTCCTCTACGTCACTTCACCTTTAAGCAGTTCCCACTAGAAAAGCAACATTTCCATGGGCATTAGGCAAGTATGCTTGACGTTTTTTCAATGCTTCATAAACAGAACGAAAACATAATCAAAATTTTAGACAAAAACATGAACACACCAAAACATGGTATAGTGATCATTGCTTCATTCCTCATAATAAACACATGTTGGAACAAGCCCTAAGAGTAGTTAGGTTTAAAAGTGTGATTTTGTTTCATTATGGATCGAAATCCAGATGAAATTTTTGTTGTTCTGAGATCTGGATGTATCCAAATCTCCGAATCAAAAAAAGAAGTTAAATTCAACAAATCCAAAATAAATTATTAATTTGTTTCATTCATTTGCTACTTCAGGGGTTTTTGTAAGTTCAATAATATGTGTCACACTCTGTATTCTTATGATTGGCCAAAGTCGCAAGCAAGTTACATTAAAATCGCAAACAAATCGCAAAGCATCCAAGCTGCATCAAAGTTGCAAGCATGTCACAAGGAAAACGCAATGCAAAGTTACACTGGAAACATAATGAATGAATCTGAATCTTCCAAAATAACATCCAAAACACAAAGTGATTTGGAATAATGAATACTTTTGCATGGAAGCACAATTGTATGAATACAAATTATTTAGAGAGAATACATACAACCAAGTGCAAGCGTGTTTTTCATGCGTCATATGTAGAGCAGCTCATTCATTACAATGGGCTACCCTATGCACAAGCAACACAGAAATGAAGCTCCTGAATCTTCCAAAAAGATGCCACACCAAACTACAGGGTTCTGCTGCACCATGTAGTTTTGTGCACACATTTTACAGATGTATCATTCATTTTCAGTACTGCTCTCCTGCACATAGTACAGTGTCATGCAGCCCACACTCATCATCTGCACAGCCTGCCACTATCACCTTCTCTCCTGCACACAATACTCACCATACCCTCCACCTTCCTATCCTGCACATACCACCATAGCCTCCATTCTATTCTCTTATGCATACTGCTGTCATACACTTCTCATTACTTTTCTGTCCATACTAACTCCCCTTATACCCTCCACATTGTTCATACGTTTATTACCCAGCATACTCCACACTGCATCTCCACATACTGCTCACTGTCATACCGCCCACACTCCTCTCCTGTACATACCGCCCACTGTCATACCCTCCTCACTCCTCTCCTATACATACCACCCACTCTCATGCCGTCCACACTCCTCTCCTGTACATACTGATCACTGTCATACCCTCCACATTCCTCTCCTGTACATACTGCCCACTGTCATACGCTCCCCACTCTTCTCCTGTACATATTGCCCACTGTCATATCCTCCACACTCCTCTCCTGTACATACTGATCACTGTCATACCCTCCACACTCCTCTCCTGTACATACTGTTCTCTGTTGTGCCCTCCACACTTCTCTCTTGTACATACTGCCCGCTGTCATACCCTCCACACTCCTCTCCTGTATATACCACCCACTGTCATACCCTCCACACTCCTCTCCTGTATACTACTGCCCACTGTCATACCCTCCACACTCCTCTCCTGTATATACCGCCTACTATCATACCCCCCACACTCCTCTCCTGTGCATGCTGCCCACTGTCATACCCCACACTCCTCTCCTGTACATACTGTCCAATGTTATACCCTCCACACTCCTCTCCTGTGTATATACCCTTTTTATTCCAATCCTGCATTTTACTGTTCACTTTCATATCCTCCACACTCCTCTCCTGTACATACTGCCCCCTGTCATACCCGCACATCCCTTTCCTAGAATACTGTCCACTGCCTGCAGTGTTCCTTTAAAACCTTGGGATCAATGTACGTGTTTACTGTTAGTACCAGTGTTTTTTGTTTTGTTTACTTTACAACAACAGCTCTCTTATATATGTGTAGCACTACCCCCTTAGGAGTCACTGAAGTTTGGGTCCCCCTATAGCCCTGCACAGCCAGACAACACACATTTCCCTCAGTCAGACTTTCACCTAGAAGACAGTAACCAGTCTTTTAGCTTGTTTTGAAATTTTATTAGGGGATTGAACTTGGGTGTAAGGGGTGTATTGGATGCGCAAGGGTAATGGCAACAGAGGACAAACTCCTTAGTAACCACTGTATGTACAAGTCTTTACAGAAAAAATTATCTTCCAGAAAGCTAGCCAGCATCTTCCATAGTATTGCCCAGACCCTCAATGCATCCTCTCCTCATCCAGCTGTACTGGGTGAATTTCTGAGCAGGAGATCCAGTGCCTGCCACTGCAGTGTGAACAGTCCCAGGTAAAAAGCTAATCCAGCGCCTCTTTCCCCTTACTGGCCCAGGGGGTGCAGGTTTACTCACTCAGTTTTTCTCCTATGCTTCTGCTGGGTTTTTGGGTGCTACCCGACCTTCTAGCTGGGCCGCTTCTTCCCTGCTGCACAGGGG